ACCCAAGATTCTCCATTTCTAGCAGCTTACAAAGTGAAGCTGATGCTGCTGATCCTGGTCCGTGGTCCATACTTTGAATAACAAGATTTTATAAAACTTCTAAGAGAAACAGCATCTGAGACTCAAACAAAACACACTAAATAACAAAGTGGTAATTGTTTCAAAATGCGATGGGATTTGATAGAATTTGAGACATGCTTTTCTGAACACTAAATACAACAAGTTCTGGAAAGATTGAGTCTCAGTGTATCTATTATCTATTGCTACACAATAAAATTATTTTTTTTAAGATTTATTTATTTATTTATTTATTTGAAAGAGAGAAAATGAGAGAGAGAGAGAGAAAGAGCACATGAGAGGGGGGAGGGTCAGAGGGAGAAGCAGACTCCCTGCTGAGCAGGGAGCCCGATGCGGGACTCGATCCCAGGACTCCAGGATCATGACCTGAGCCAAAGGCAGTCGCTTAACCAACTGAGCCACCCAGGCTTCCCCACAATAAAATTATTAAAACAGTATCAGACATTTATTTTGCTCATGAATCTGAAATTTGGGCAGAGCTCTGCCATGACAACTTGTCTCTGTTCCACATGCCCTCAACTAGGACAGTTTAGTTGGAGATTGGAGGAGGCACTTTCAAAATGACTCACTCTTATGGGTGGCAGGTTGGTGCTGGTTTTCATCTGGAAGCTCAGCCAGGTCTGTGGGACAACCATCTTGGTTCCTCTCCATGTAGGCCCCTCCCTGCGCTGCTTGGGTTTTCTCATAGCATGATGACTGAGTTCTAAAAGCAAGTGTCTCAGGAAAACAAAATGGAAGTACATGGCATTTTCATGGCCTGGCCTCAGAAATAACATAATGTCCCTTTTGCCATTCTTTATTAGTTGAGGCAGTTACAAAGGCCTGCCAGGTTCAAGAAGAGAGACTTGAGACTCCACCTCTTGATGGTGAAGTGACAAAATTCCAGAAGAGCATGAGGGATGGGAGATACAATTGTGGTCATCCTTGGGAAATATAATCTGCCATACTCAGCAACCCAAAATCCTTTTTGAACAAATAATAAGTTAATCATGATACAAATTTTCTAATTCTAGCCCAACCCCATTCCCATTTAAATGTATTTTGGGGAAGAAGAAAAGAAATATAGAGCACATGGGAAGATATTGAGGAAAAGCTAGAAGGATAAGAGATTATCTGATAAAGGGTAGGAAAAAACAGGAAGAAAATAGTTGGAAAATGAAAAAGGATGTATGTATAAAAAAAGGACATAGGATACAACACATAGAACAGTAGATCTGAATATAAAAACAACTATCATTTTCTTCCCTACCCTCACTCTGCTACCTGTAAAAGAGTGGAGTGGATACTAACCTGATTGGTTGGGAAGCCTAATATGTTACTTACTGCCATTCTCTGGTAGGAAGGAATCAAGATTGGAGCCTAGTACTGGCCAATAATAAATGAATTGAGCTATTTTTCTCTTTTGAAAAATTTATGACAGCAGCAGAGTGAATTCAAACATGACCTAAGGCTTTCTCAGACAGTTCTCATCTAAGGCAAGACCACAGTGTCATTGGAGAGGAATAGGGGCTGGGATCAGGAAGAAGCAACCATACTGTCTGGACCACTTACTGCATTTGCCAACTTACATTTGCACCCTACAACATGAGGTCTGATTCCAGTGAAAAACACAGCAACGGGCTAGATCGGCACTCATGCAGTTGAAGATCATCATAATCGAATCTTCCAGTTCACTGTGAGAAATGCTACTTGTGGTGAGACAAGGAAACAAAATGTTCTTCTCTTCATGCAAGGCCTTCTAAATTGGCTCCCCACACCTCCACATTTGGTCTCCACACTGTCTTGCTGGGTGTGAGCTCTGTGCAAGTTTAAAGTGGTGCAAAAAAGGCATGTTGCCCTCGATCTTTGGTGCTGAAAGTAAGATTCCAATGATGAAACCAAACAATTGCTACCCTGGAACAACACTGCAAAAATGAGAAGGGAATATTTCTACCGCAAATTTCACAACAATTCCCTTTGAAACAAAACCACTGAGCACGCCTATGTATCAGAAACCCACCACCTCTTAACTCTTGCTCTAAACCTCCCATTGCAGGTTCAAGAGATAAAGACTTCCCTCATGAAGCACTGTTGGCTGGTATGTGAGAAAGTTCCAGTCATGCTATTGAGATGGGTTCCTGGAAGGAAGATGAGGAAAATGATCTGCATTTTTCTTGATTTTTGCCCAAGTATGTCTGTTCTGTAGGCGTCCTGGAGTTCTTCCCAGAAGGCAGATCTCAAAATCTTCAATGCCAATCACGAATAAGAGTTCCATTTACTTAACATAATTAAACTTGTTCAATGTTGTATGAATGAAAAGTGCCAGATTAAAAGGAGCAATTGCTGATCTTCACCTACATGTTTGTCCTGAGAGAAAGGACTGCCTCACTCACCACCCCCTTTCATTTCCTATACCAATCCCCTTCTATTCACCAAGGTAGTCAGGGAGTCTACCAGTGAGCCACCTGATCCAGCCTGAGGTGACTGCCTAGAGCTGTGACTTTGGGCATGGCAGTTAACTCCTCTATCTGTTGCTCCTATATAGAATTAGAATAAGAATGTTTGTCCCCCCTTATCTTCCTTTGAACTTTGCCTAAAAAAGGCATTACAAAAATGTTGAGGAAATTTTTGCCAGCAACATTTATAGCTGCCCTGTGAGGATACACCATGGGATCCCAACATAGAAAGTTTAGAAATGTGGCCTTCCCTGTTACATTCAGGCATTATCAGAGCAGCATTATCATTAGACACAATATTTTCAAATGTTAAAGAAAATAAACAAAGGATACTCGAAGGTGGAACCATGGTACTAAAAATGAGCAGTTAAGACCTTAAACTTTTTTTAAAAAATGATTTTATGTATTTATTTGAGAAAGAGAGAAAAAGAGTGTGCACGAGTGGGAAGAGGGGCAGAGGGAAAGAGACAGAGGGACAAGCAGATTCCCCATTGAGCAGGGAGCCCGATGTGGGATTTGATCCCAGGACCCCGAGATCATGACCTGAGCAGAAGTTAGATGTCTAACTAGCTGAGCCACCCAGGTGCCCGAGACCTTGAACTTTTAATACACCACTGCTTCAATCTACTCACACACTCTCTGATTTTACATATCAGACATGCCAACACTGGGCAGTACAGATTCTCTTGATCCCCTAACCCACAGAAGAAGAAACTCAGGGTTCACATTCAAGCTGGGAGTTCCAGTTTTAGAGCACATTCAATATCATTATGCCATATAACAATGTATGTATGCCCTATAAATCATAAGCAACCTTCGATATGGTGTCTACTCTCTCTACTCTACTCTGTATTGGTTTCTTAGGGATGACATAGCAAAATACCTCAGATTGGGTGGCTTGACCAACATAAATTAATTTTTTCACAGTTCTGGAGGCTAGAAGTCCAAATTCAACATGTCAGCAGGTTTGGTTTCTCCTGAGGTCTCTTTCCTTGGCTTACAGATGGCTGCCTTCTTGCTGTGTCCTCATGTGGCCTTTTCTCTGCATGTCACTCCCTGGTATCTCTTTGGCTTCTTAAAAGGACACCAGTCAGATTGGAGTAAGGACACTATTTTAACTTAGTCACCTCTTTTAAGGTTTTATCTCTAAATATAGTCATGTTCTGAAGTTAAGGATTTTAATATATGAATTTGGGGTGGGAATGGGGGAGTGGAGGGATACAATTCAATCCATAACAGTCTCTATAAAAATGGGCATCATGAGGATTTCTGTAAGATGGGGCAGACAAGAACATGAATGAGAAAATGCTTTATAAATTATAAGTCACCATACAAATATTGTATCATTGATATCATCATTTTGTCATTATAATTATTATTCTCTATGACATATTGTCAGTCTCCTGGGAAACCTAAATTTTTCACCTTTTGAAAAATTATAGCACAGTGGTTAAGAGAACATGCTCCAGAATTAAGATGTCTGGATCCAAATCCAGGCTCCACTATTTGTCAGCTCTGTGACCTTCAGAAATTATTTTAACCTCTCTAAGCCTCAGTTTTCCTATCTGTAAATTAGGGATATAAAAATAGTACCTACCTTTTAGGGTTGTTGAAAGGATTAAAAGAGAGCATGCATCAGAATGACTGATTAATAGTATATGCTCAATTAATGTGGTTGTTAGTAATAGCCATATATAAACCTTGCTGCGGCTGCTCCTTTTTCTCAGCCAGCAGAGGTCTCCATCATAGTCAAACTAGGACTAGCTTCCCCGTGACAGTCTGCACTGCAGCTGCCAAGCACATCCACGGTTGGCAGAGAAAGGAGTGAAAGAATTGCCACCCTGTCTGAAGGAAGAAGAGCAAGAGAACAGGGAATAGTTAAGATTCCATGGTAAGATGCTATATGAATAGATGACCATGTAAGATTAAGTTCTAGTGCTGCTTCAGAGACTTACTGACATTGCCCTTAATTGCATCCCACTTTAGCTAGTTCTAAAGTTGAGTTAAGAAAACTTACATATACCTCAGAAGAGCAGTGAGAATGAATCGGCAAATGTTTTTGTAGAGTTCTCTGAATGCAAGGAGTGATGTTAAACAGATATTTAACATTTCTCACAGTATTAAGCTTATCTCATCTTTTTATCACCAGTTATATTCCATGCCTCAGTTTTGCTTCCACTGTAATATATTTCCTTTAACCTTCTTTTCCCAGACAGGCTTACACCTCCAAGTTCAATTATTCTGTCAATTGTGTTTTAAATTGTACTGATTTATATTAACCACTTGTGGTATCAATTTGTTGATCTGTTGCTTCTTCTGTACCAATCATCTTTACACCCACCAAAAGCTGCCCTGGCAATTAAGCTGAGGAAGGTTAGAGTTATTCAAGAGAAATTAAAGCATAGAAGGAAAGACAGTGGAATGACTGGGATAAAAAGAGCACTGAGGGGAAAACACACATGTACTAAAAAAGCATAGCACGCAGCAGATAGAGGCTCAGAGGGAAAAAAGGAGAGCGAGATAGAAAACGGATCCTGCTTCTGCCTGCTACACCTCGCTTTCAGCACCAAGGACAGAGCCTCTGAAGGGCTGACCCAAGCACTGATCAGTTTAGGGTCCCTCCCAAATCCTCTAGAGAAAACGCATGAATTTGAAAGGAGCTATGAAGCATGCAGTAAGGTCTAATAGGAAAGCTGTAAGAGCAGCCCACAAGTGATTTCACCTTAGAGGCAAAAATGGGTGATTTTCTTTTTGTTCATCTCCACAGTTTCTGTATCCTTGGAAAGGCAAAGTTTGCTTTGCTTGGCCATGTCTGCTGTCAGTAAGGGACTGCAGGAGCTGAGGTGCTAAACTCCACAGTCTCCAGAAATCAGAAGAAATTTTCAGGGTAAGTAATTTTTCTTTTTGTTTCTAATTTAATACACAGCATTTTCCTGGAAGGTTATTTAACCAGCTTGGGGTTCTGTGGTTCTCTAAGAATATGCATTAAAACTCTGTACCTTCTCTTATTTAAAAACCTGAAGCCCTAAGGAAACTGTTTTCATTTTTTCCTCATTTTTTGACAATAGAAACCTGTTCTCTTTCTCTTTTTCCCCCAAAATTAGATCTTCATGGGCTCTAGAAGCTATATCAAGGCAGAATTAAAAGATGGAAAATAAAAAGGTGTTACTATCCCTGGGATTTGTATGGAAGTTGATTGTATTCCCCTTAAGGGTCTTACTTAATTGTAAGTGTCTGTTATTTTAAACTCCCCAATCTAGCATCCTGGTAATCCAAGGCTGAGGGTTTGGAGAGGCACTGTTTTCAATGGTCTATTTAAAGACAGGCTGTTTCCAAGTCAGAATCCAATTATTCCCAACAGAGATATGCAGTACTTGAGATGATGATTGTTTATGTTTTCTTTAATGATAGCATATGATTTTGAGGATATTGTTGTTTTTTAATTGTTGGACTTTCATTACTTATTGTAGCTTATTGGGTCAACGGAAGTCATTGCAATTAGGCATTTGTTCCAGCTCATGCATTTAGTTTAATCGAATACTATCAAAATGTACACACAAATAATAAAGCAGCAATAGCAAAGTGGAACTTGGATTCTAAACTCATTCTGCATGTCTGTTTGCACTTTATAGGGGAAGCCCTTTGCTTACTGATGCTAAAAGGTCAGTAAGATGTCTGTCCTTGGGTATAAGTGAAGAATCGCTGCTTGACACACCATTGGATCTCTTGTAGCCAAAGAGAAGCAAATATGAAAAAGATCCTTGCTCAGACACTTGTTTATTTTTAGTTGAACATTTTCAAAGGTCTGCATGGTTAGCAGTGAGCAGGCGTGTCAAGCAAGGAAAATACTGACAGTATCCAAATGAAAGCCTGATAGTAAAGCATCTATACAGAAGGCTGCTTATTATGGAATATGAATTAAAGCAAATACCAAATAGATCTTACTCATTATTAAATTCAGTATCTAATGTACTGAAGTTTGCCATTGATTAATATTTGCTTATTGATTGACTGATCCATTGAGTTCCCATTTTATCTCTGCTTAAAATGATAAAATGCTTGGTGATTCAAAGTTGTTATGGAAAGTGGGAATTCTTTGTTTTACAGGGCAGGTTTAATTTGAGGGAAAAAAAATGTATATAACCTTAGCTATTGGATCTCATTGACCAGCTATGGTTTTTCTCTATACATTTGCCAACAATGTAAATATGCCCAAATATATAAATGTGCTATGTATTTTAATGCCCTTGTGAATCTTCATTAGGAAAGTAAACTAGACAGCAATTTTCAAGAATAAAGTGCCATAGAAATGCTAAAGACTACCTCTAATAATAATGACAATGTACCTCCCACTGTTTCTATGTGCAGTGTGCACCTGTGTTGACTTCACGGAGCTTGGTCAGGTGCTCTGAAAAGGCAAGGTTTTAAAATGAGTCTCCATTTCAAGTTTGTCTCCCTCACCTCAATAGTGGAGTAGTTAAGAACGTAAAGTCTAGAAACAGGTAGATCTTGGGTTGAATCAGCTCCACCATTTATTGTTGTATGACCCCAGCAAGATAATTAACCTTTCTATTACTTACTTTCTTCATCTGCAAAATGGGGATAATAATAGCACCTACTTCCTTTATCAGGTTGTTGTGAGGTTTAAATATGATAATGATTATAAATTTTAGCTATAATTATTAACTTTTTCAGACAATATAGAAAGTCTACACTGAAGCCCAGAACCAGAAAAGCTTTGTAGACTAGAGGTCAGGATGTAACTGATGGCAGAAGACAGGGATCTGATGCAAGTGAAGATCTGGTCAGAGAACCCTGCTTTTAAGGTGTTCTGTTCTGGGTTTAGGAAAAACCTTCTCTAATTGGAAATGACTCCATACATCAATGTCCACCCCCAGCCATAGACACATTAAATAAGTTGTGAGTTTGATATTTAAGGAGACCCAAGATCAAAGCTAGGCTCAATACAGCCCCCTACACATTATATAATCTTGAGGAAGTTACTGAACCTCTCTTTGACTCAGTTTTTTAATCTATAAAAAAGTGATATCAATATCGAACTTCAGGGCTGCTATAAATATTAAAATGAGATAATATGTGTAAAGTACTAGTACCCTGCACACGGTAGTAAACAGGAGAGATGGTGACCACTGTCTTCAGAAGGAGATTGATTTTTTTGTGTTTGGCTTTTGCCTAATTCAATATTCTTAAGGAAAGGGAACAAACAATTAAAACCTGGTAATCCTTAATGAGTATCTTCCTAACGTGCCTGGTATGGAACTGAGTGCCAAAGAGGCACCCCACAAACATTCCAGGCAGAATGTAGCTCAGCACTGAGGGACTGAGTATCAGTGAAGCCAGATGTATGTCATAGCTGATGGGGACCTGACTACTCTCTGTACCTCTGCTTCTCACAAAATAAATTATGCACTCACTTTCAGAGATGCTTGAATAAACTATAAAGACCAAGATAAATCAATACTTTGTAAGAAGTTCAAAGGCTCATTAAAATTTGTGAATAGTGCTATATATAATGAATCTTAAAAGAGTAAGACCAGCCATAATCTTCTAGTCCTTGCCTTCTCCACTTTTTCACCCCTCGTCCATCCTTAACTACTAACACTCTTTGCTGAGGTCACCAGTAATCTCCTAATTTCCAAGTCCATTAGCCACTCTGCAATTGTAGCTTACTTGACCCCTTCACTTAGTCCCACTTCCCCTTTAACAATAAAAGCCACAGTACTTCAAGTGCTTGTGCCAGCATTATGTTAAAGCCATGATTCTCAATTGGAAGAACAATTTTGTCCCCCAAGAGACATTTGACAATGTCTGGAGACAGTTTTGGCTGTCACAACCTGGGCGAAGGGGAGTGCTACTGGTACTAGTATGTACAAGTCAGGGATACTGCTAAACATCCTATAAGGCACAAGACAACAACCCCTCCAAAAAAAATTATCCAGCCCCAATTGTCAGTAGTGCCAAGACTTTACATATACAGTATTACTTGATCTTCACAATAACTCCACGGAGTGGGTATGATATCCACGTTTTGCTGACAAGGAGACCAGGCTATCAGTATGAATTACTTAAAGAGTGATTATTAAGTAAACAAATTCTTCAGGCTTCCTGCTTTTTCCTACCTGAAACCAGTTTGCTATCTGGTAATATATTTATAAGAGGGAAAAAGAAAGGAAAAAGCCCAACCCAGCTCTGTGTTATATAAGCAATGCTGGTTTAAAAAAAAAAAAAAAAAGACGAAAGAAAGCGCTAAGGAGGGAGAGAGTTGAAACAATTAGCTGAGGAGCGGGGAGTAATCCAGCCTTTCCCTCACTTTCTTCTTCCATCCACCACAGCAATCATCAGGAACTGCCTGGACAACCAAGGCTTACACCCACTTAGTACTACACCAAACCTAAGACCAGCGACAAAGCAATGCAAAAATAATAATACATCGGAAATCCAAGCAAATATGATTCCACCATCAGGCTCACAACCAATTTTCAGAGTTGAGGGTTTCCTTTTGTTTAATTAGCCATTGACACTCAGCTGTACGATCTTTAAGTAGCTGTCAAACCTCAACAGAGTAAAAACTCCAAGATGGTAACAAACATCCCCAAGGTTTTGTGCTTCCATCTTACCCATCAGGCAAGATCTGACTAAGACATCATTAGCCAACTGCAGACCCCACGAAAGACTGATTTCTGGCCACTGTTTTCCCAATTGGTCCAGTTGCAGAAGGAAAGGTGTTCTGGGTTTGAGCTGGCCTCAAAGGTAGAAATATCCGCGAAAAATCAGAAGGCATTGTATTTTTCAAAAAGCTCTTGGCAGCAGTGTTTCTATCTCCAGGGTAGCAGCTGCCCTTTCCAAATAATTATAATTATTATCAAAAACTATTATTATGTTTTAAAATTTATTGAGTACAAACTGTGCCAAGATAAAGAACAATTTTCTTTAAAACAATTCTCTGAATTCATTCCAAGTCGGCCCCTTACAATCATTTGTTCATTTTAACACTTACACATATTCCAGGATGAAACATTTCAAAATGAGGCACAAAATGATATACATGATTAGGCCAATTCCCTCGTCTACGGGGGAGCTGCAGATCCCAGGATTGAGAGCAAAGCCTGGCCACCAAGGCAGCCTCTACCTCTGCCAGGGCCTGGAGCAAGTGTTCCCATGGAGGCCCATATACTCCCTGTCTAAGTATTTTAGTTATAACCAACAAACCAGTGAATAAAATGTTTAATACTCCTGCCTTAAAAAATATACCTCCGTAACCATCTGGAAGGCCAGGTTTGAATTTAGGATTCCTAGGTCCTTAAGAGTTCAAAACAAAATGTGAGAGGGCAGGAGAAGGTGCTTTCCACCCCAAATCCTTCCCCAGGGACTCCATCCTCTTCTCTCCCCACTTCAGGCTGTACCCAGGCTACTCATCTGAGCTCCCCCAAGAGCTACCTCTTGAGCTCAGGGGCCCCAAATATACATGACACAGTCTACCCTCAGGTTGACAGATCCAGAATAGGGCCTGTGTTTTGGAAACGGGCTCCATGCAGTTTGGGCAGAGAATTCTGTGATCTTGGTGCCCAGAGTGTGGTTTAGAATAAAGCGTGAACTCTTGGTGGACCTGCTCCTCGGTGCTGTGGGAGAGCAATGACCTCATCCCGTGGGGAGGACATGACAGAGGGAGTCCAGAGTGGGACCCTCTAAAGCACAGATCCCATGGCAGGAGTCCCTTTTCCAGCACACAAGGCTTTAATGCACAGGCATTTCCATATTTTTCTATAGGGACATGGTGATTTTTGTTGCCTTCCCTCCCCACCCCCACCCCAGCCCCAGACACACACAAACCTGGCTGTGAGCCCAGAGTCCCTTGTTCAGGGCTGGCCCCAAGAGGCTGGTGTCACAGGGGAAGCTGATGGGTTCTGATACCTTTCCTACCCTAAGTCCAAAGTCCCCACAGTTTGAGGATTTGTTCATCCCAGTGGGATGCTGACAGGTCCGTTGTTATGGCTTTCAGATGCCAAAGGAGAATTTTGGAAGAATCAGAAGGCCTGCATGCTAGTTCTGGCTCTAATCAGCTTTATGACTCAAGATATGTTACTCATCTCTCCGGGTCTCAATTTCCCTGTTTGAAAAGTGAGGGCTTTGGACCACATCAGAAGTTGAAAATTTATGATCATGGGTCATTGGCCCATGGACATGGGATTTTGGGGGTGGGGGGAGAAGGGACTTCATAGGGCTTAAACATCTTTTTAATTAGTAACCAATCTTTTAAAATTAGGAGGTTTCAAGTAAAATTCCACACATGGATTTTTCCCTAAGTATAAAAACGACTGCACTGCCTCTATACTCCATTACTCTTGAGTTTTTCTCCCACAAGCCAGCATCCCACACCTACCACGCCCCACTCAAAATACAAGAGAGATATGGGAAACTAAAGGCAGAGACAGAGGGAGGCAGGGGAAAAGGCAAATGGGGGCCACAGAGAGGGTAGAGAGAAAACAAGGAAAGGGGGATGGGAAGCTCAGAGAAACAGGTAAGAGAAAATAACTTTCAAGGTATCATAGCTTTCAATATCTTACATATTTAATAGCTCACTTAATCCTCACAAAAAAACTTATGGGATGGATTCCATTGTTTCCTCCACTCTACAGAGGAGGAAAATGAAGCTCAGAGAGGTGCAGTAACATGCCCAAGGCCCAGCACTAGGAAGTGGCAGAGCTGGGATTCTCATCCTGCAACAGCTCTCCATCTCACTCAGAGTCCAAGCATAGCTCTTTCAATGGTCCTGCACAACCTCTCCATCCCACTTGGCTCCAGCCACTCTGGTCTCCCTTCTGCCTTCCACACACCAGCCTGTCCTGCCTTTGTACCTGCTATCCCTTTTGCTTGGACCACTCTTCCTGCAGATATCTGCATGGTTGGCTTCCTCATGTCCTCCAGGTCTTGACTCAGTTGTCACCTTCTCCACAAGGGCTTCCTGATTACCCTGATTAAAAATTTCCCTCAGATACCCTAGGCACACACACAAAATCCTCCCCATCTCCTTACCTCCTTCTCTGATTTATCATTCTCCAAAATGCATATCATCAAACATACTACATCCATTATTTATCTAGTTTCTTACTGTATTCTCTTCCATACTACATCCTTTATTTATCTTACTTCTTACTGTATTCTCCTCCCCCAGTGGGCCCCAACATGAGGGCAGGAATTTTTTTTTTCATTGCTGTATTTCCAGTGCATAAAACAGTACCAAGCATATAGGAAGTGCTCCATAAATATTTGTTGAAACAATACATAAAAATGTACCCAAGCAGCCAAGCTCCAAAGAGTCCAGTTTTACCAACATTGTTTTCTGTCTCCTTCCAGGAAATCCACTGGGGTCACTCTTCTCCCTCTGGGCTATGGCGCCTCTGAGCCAGCTGAGCAGCCAGATCAACTCCACCTGTGGGGCAGAGAACTCCACAGGGGCCAGCCGGGGCCACCCACATGCCTACTATGCACTCTCCTACTGTGCGCTCATCCTGGCCATCGTCTTCGGCAATGGTCTAGTGTGTGTGGCAGTGCTGAAGGAACGGGCTTTGCAGACCACCACCAACTACCTGGTGGTGAGCCTGGCTGTGGCAGACCTGCTGGTGGCCACCTTGGTGATGCCCTGGGTGGTGTACCTGGAGGTGAGTGAGCCCCAGCTGCAGGCGGCCTGTGTGACCATACTTGTCTTTGTCTTCCCTGAGTTCCTGGCCTTCTGGGCTCAAAATGCTCCCTGCCACGATCCTGGGACTAGGAAGGAAGGAGGGCTCCTGTCATTCTCCCTTTCCTAAGGGAACTGAAGGCCTGAGAACAGCCATTATCTGACATCACTTGCCCACATCAGAACCAAGGAGCCAGGAACGATTGTGCTCCTGGGTCTCCAGCATCCAGGTGACTGGGCTTGAGTGATGCTACTCATCCTAAAAATGCATCAGGTTTAATCTCTGTGCCAATCATGTCTCAGAGATGTGGGGGGTTGAGGGAGGCAATCCGTGGGCATCTTCATCAGTGTTTCAATGTATATAGAGGGATGGGGAAGTGCCGGAAGGATGCAGGACAACAACGAGGGTGGAAGGAGATGCAGAAGGAATTATAGAAAAAAATATATATTTTTAATGAATAAGAGGAAAAGAGAGAAAAAACAGTCTGCAAATAGATCAGACTTCTTTTGATAGTTTAGTTACCCTTGGACTCAGCTCTTTCCTCCTGGGTACCAGCTCTTTACAGACTCTGCTACCAAACAGACCAAACCTTCACATTTATATTTTTGATGCCTCCATTAATAGTACGGAGCCCTCGCCAGTCAGATAATGCAGCAGACCCTGGAGAATTCTTCTGGAGAGAAACATTTCTTAAATTTGAAAGTATTTTCATTTGAAAGTGCAAAACAGAGTCAGGAGGTGATCAAGACAAAACATCCATTTACTAACAAAGGAATCAGGGTGCCTACACCTGTTCAAGAAACAGATATTCTTACCAGGAAAACATGCAATTACTAAAGAGTTTTTTAAAAACACTTTAATGTACTATTAATATGTCCCTCCTGCACTGTGTATCATGTATCATTTTAAAGAAGTATCCAATGAAGGATCAAAATGATGCTATGATTAAGAGAAATTAAAATTCATCAAATTAATATCTCAGTTAATATTAATAGTGAAGGTGACAGTTAATTAAGTATGACATATCACAGGAGAGCAAAAACCTCAAACATAGACCGCCTAGGATGCTACCCCTATTAAAGAATGACTGGGAACTAAAATTAGACTTATGATCTCAAAGGGGAAACATAAAGGAAAGAAATCAAGAAAATAGAAAAGGAAAGGAAAAGCAGAAAAACATCTAGTCTGATTGGATAAGATGTAAAGGCTAAGGGAAGAGTTGGAGAAAAAAAACAAGCATTATTTTTCCCTGTTAGGATAATCCTGATGGCAAAAGATCTTGTAATTATCTTGACTTTTCTGTCAACCCAAACTGACTGAGACAACCTTGAAGTCAGAAGCTATGTCTTTGTTCTTTTTTTTTTTCCTATAGTCTAAACACTCTACCTGGCACATAATATGTGCTAAATAAATATTTGCTATGTGAATGATTAAATGAATCTTTTCTGTAATGTATGCATTAGATGGGCAATTCCTGCTTATACCATTTGCAGCTATATCTATTGTTTCAATGAACTGTTTATTTTTTTTTACATTCAATAATAATGATACTGAAAAGGAGTTGGATAACGTGATATTTCTGCTCGAGAATAAGGCAGATTTAAAGTGCTTCAAACCACTATGGATTAGTTAATGATTCATAATACCGCCATCCCACACCTCAAAATGTTTATATCCACCCCTATACATCACAAGGATTCTTAAGTCTTTCACAAGGCTGAATGCCAGAAAGAAATACAGGATGGAGACCTTCACTCTAATAAACATTTTAATTTAATTGCCTCTGAAATAAAACCAGTCTTTTGGTAACTATAACAAAGCCACTCAAAGTCCCTCTTCAACTGTCCATCTGGGGTTGCTTCCAGGACTCTGGATAGACCATATTGGAAAATCTCTGTAGATACTGGTGTAGGATATTGACATTGTGATTTTCCCATGCTAGACACCCACGGCATCCACTGCTAGCCACATCTGCCAAAATTGATGATGTCCCCCTTCTGCTGAGCATAGAAGAGCAACTGAGCCCACAGACAGCCAGCATGAAATGTTACCAAAGCCTTGCTGGACTCTCTGCAGGGTGGATTTATGAGTTCTCTCCTATGAGCTCTGGTGAAGCTCTTGGCTCTCCCTCATAAAAATGAATACGCATTCTGTCCAACAGGTTATTTGGTGCAAGGGTTCAGTAATCAAGAGCATGGTCAAATAAGTCTGCAATCACATAAAGAAGATTTGGGAGACATCTCTCCACTGGGAAATGGGCTTTGGGACCTCTTTTTGGTCTTCCCTACTTGCTTTAAAGTTCTAGTCAATGCTACTTAATATTTCTGTACCACTTTCGCCAATAGTCCACTAAGGGTCTCTATCAATAAAAGAATATGACTTAAAGCAACCATAATTAACAGACAACCAGTTAAGATATTAGAAGGTTCTATTCCAAAGGAGCGGGTCTCCCTAACCCACCACAGTATATGTTTTTTTTCATCTTAAATACCTGCTTGCTTTCTGTGGACCTCAGAAGCAGACAGGGTATCTCAATGGGAGAAGAGTACCTTAAGCCCTTAAAAGGACTGTGGATATATAAGTCCATGTGTCTCAGAGAAGAGCAAAGTATTACTCACAGTAACTTGTCCTAATGGTGGTACAGTTTGAGTAACTGGTCTAGTAATTACATGATTATACCTAAGGGCTCCCTTGGAAAGAGGAAAGGATGCAGTGTTGACCATAGCATAGAGACTGCTGTAGGCTTGAGGGCCCCCAAGAGGACAGCACAGAAATGAGAAGAACACCATGCAGTGGCCAAATTAGCTGCCAAATTCACAGCTTCCTATGCTTTGATTTGAATACATCTATCTTCTTTGAAGGAAATATTGGCTCATACTGGCCAGATACCTTCCTTCGAAGGAAAATTGCCTAATTTTGCCAGGCACCAGAATGTATGCTGTAAATATTGGAAAACTTTACTCGCTATGGCTTAAACAAATAGGCGTTACTTTTCTCACACAACCAGAATTCTGGAGGAAGGGGATTGTTGGTGTTGATTCAGCTGCCCCACGGTGTCAATCTCTTCCATCCTTGGCAAACTGGCTTACTTCCTCATGCTGCTCACAGGATGGCTGCCATGGCCCTCAGCATCATGGCCGTATTCAAAAATAGGATGGGTGGGGACAGAGGAGAAAGAAAGAGAGAGAAAGGGGGGGAAAAGCCCTTTCCCTGGAGCGCCTCAAAGCATCTCCTAAGGGACTTCCCTTAAGTTTAATTAGCCAAAATTGGATCATAGGGAAGGATACAGGGGAGGATAGAAAAGAAATGGAAAATGTGAGTTTTATTTAAAAAGAGGATGTAGTATGAGGAATTGATGTGAGACGGGCAAATAAAATGTCACAGAACACTGTGCTTCTGGAATTCACCGGGATGAATATCATTCCTGCACAGGGTTATGCTATGAGAAAGCCTCAGAACTGGAAGTCAGAAGACCAGGAATCAAGTGAACAAAATGGAGGTGACAAGTATACTTTTCCTATCTCATAGGCTTGATGTTAGGCTCAACTGTCCTCAACTGAGAAAGTGCTTTGATAACTCAAAGGTGTGAACTATAAATCTGAGTTAAGACACTTTCAGTAGTGAGTAAAAGAAAACTTAGTTCCAACTGACCTAAGCAATAAACAGAATGCATTTTTCTTTCACACCAGGAACTTTAAAAGTCCTGTGGTAGGGTGGGCTGCAGGCACAGTTTGAACAGGGCTCCAGCTCCATTTCTCCACAATTCTCTCAGCTCTCTTCTCTGCATTGGCCTTATCCACAGCACAGGGTAAGTTATAGGCACATGTGTACACCACACTATTCACACCAAGAGAGAAAATCTGTGTCCCAGAATTTCTAGTAGAAGTGCTAAGGTATACTTTGATTGGACTGGCTTCTGGCACATGATTTTCTCTGAACTAATCACTGTATAGAAGAGTTGGTTTGGCAGAGATGATATGTTCCTTCCATGGCACACATCAAAGACCTGCTCAGGAATTTCATGGTTTCCCAGTGGAACCCAAGGACTATCGGAACAAAGGCAGAGGACAGCCAGCATGGACACACCACAGTGACTTTCACGGCACCATCCTCTTCATTAAGGCACACCGGGAGCCTGGGCTTGCGCAGGGGGACTAGCAGGGGCTACTCACTGACCTTCAGTTTTCTTTGTCCTCAGGCCTCGCAGAGAAGTTCAGGATAAAAATCATGCAGGTGATCTCAGAGTAGGTTATATTTCAGCGGGCTCTGGCCTGGCTGTCTCTTTAATTCAGTTTGCAGCATTTTCTCGAAAACTCTTTTCTGTGCCATAACAAATAGTTCTCTCTCTGATTCCCTCTCAAGTTTTTAATTTCCTGCTTTAGAAGCTGCAGTCTGTGTGGAGCTCACTCTCCAAGCACAAACATTCCATTTTGTTCCACTCGGTTAAGCACCTTTTGTGATGTTTAATGCACTTATATCAGGGCAGAAAGGCAACGTAAGCAGCCAGAGGAAACTTTAGAATAGTAAACTCAGACCACTTGGGTCCCAGTGTGGACAGGAAAAATGATGTGAGAACTGAGTACTGTACACCAAGCAAAAAAGAGCAGGGGGGTAACACTGAGGCAGGGAAACTCACCACAGACAGTGATCAAGGTCAGATAATGATGGGAAAGAACAAAACTGTTTTGGGAGAGAGGAACCTTTGACCCTTGTAATGACACTGACTGTAAAAATAAAGGAGAATCTGCATTTTCAATGGGTTCTTCCATGACTCTTATGCATCTAAACTTTGAGCAGTTCTGAGCTAAATCTTCATTACAGAGAACTGCTTGTTCAAAATACAAACTACTGGCTCTACCCCAGGTCTACCAAACCAGAACTTCCAGGGATGGCTCTGGAAGTCTATGGTAATTGTACCAGCTCTGCTGCCCCAGCCCCACTCCTACCCTAGGTAATTTATGCAAGCAGCTGGCCACCTGCTA